TAAAAGGGTAGGCTTCATTTTCAGAGTAGTAATGTTGATGATAGTGAATTAGGGGAAAATGTGGATGGTTGCCTTAGTTGTGAAGGTGAAATGGTGGGTATTGTGCTTGAGTGGTGGTTGAGGCATTGGTGGTGGCAGTGGCAGATGTAGTGGTTTTTTTAAATGGGTTAGGGAAAATTTATTTTTGTTTAGGAAGAATAAGTGTACGTATGGTTTAAGAGCTTGATTAGGGAGGGTCAATTTCATGATTTGTTTAAATGGGTTAGGGAGAATTTGTTTCTATTTAGGAAAAATGAGAGGATTTCTGTTTTTAATTTTTTATTGGGTTACTAGTTAATTTTGAAAATCTAAGGACTAATTTTCTTTCAAATTTGAAACGTTGAAGGACTAAATTAAAATTAATTGATTTTTTTCATTGATATTTTAAGTTTCCCGTTAAAACAAGGCTTCTTTTAAGCACCAAAGTAGTAGAGAGGCTTATTTGTTGCCCTAATTAATTCTGGGTCTAAATTCTAATTATCAAGGAAGTTCAAGGGCTTAAAGATTAATTTAGCCTTGAAGTGAGTCCCACATTGATTAATTATGAATAGTTCTCTTTGGGCCTATGGCTGTAACAAATTCTCAAAAACGATAGAAATGATGAATTACATAAGGATGAGTTATACATGATGTTTGATGAGTTGACCTAGCCCATTATTTGACCTAGCATGGGTGAAACCCTAATGGGTACATCTTCATATACAACTTGAAATGGCATTTTCCGTTGTGCCCAATACTATCCTTTTATTCAAAAAAGATTAAACTCTCAATTTGATCCCTTAACTATTGTATGAATCCTCGATTTGGTTTTTAAACTAAAAAAATCTCTAATTTGATCCCTATATTTACCAATTTGGCCCCCCCAAATTGGTCATTCCGTTAAAAAATAACTTACATATTTGTTACTTAACAACTACGTGTCGCATTAATAATGAAACATATCATTTGTTTTTGTACAAAAAGATTAACTTTGAGCCAAATTATAAATAGTAGAGATCACATAGGAATTTTTTTTTGTTTAAAAATCAAATCAAGGGTCCATATAGCAATTGAAGAACAACGAAATTAGAAGTTTAACCTTCAAAAAAAGAAACCAACCTTAAACTAGTATTGGTGGGGTGCACCAGGCCCGAGCTATAGTGCAACACTTGGGCGACATTTGAGTGACCTGGTAGCAAGCTACCGTAATGGCCTCTTCCCCTTAAAAAAATTAATTTAATATCATGTGAACCAATGATTCACGTATCAGATATTAAACTAATAAGAACATATACTATACTTGATCTTAGCCAAAAGGCCAAGAAAGGTATGTTTTGTTTCAAGTTTGGATGCTATTTTGTATAACACTCCTTGTCACACTTATGCTTCTGTTTTTGATGTGGGACATATTAAAAGCAGAGAGAGTACTACAAAAGAGATCATCATATCATAGATGGAAAAATATAGAGAAAAGTAAAAATTAAGATTAATTAAGAATATTTTTGTTTTTCTTATTTTTTTTTACAAATTGACATATTAATTTTTTTGCAATTCCAAAAATATTTAAGGTATTATTGAGGAAATTAGAAAAAAAAATTTTGGACCATTTCTCAATTTGTGTGTGTCATCCTTGCGCAAGGGCCATGCTAATCTTCTCTGTATTGTTCCAATTTTATCGGATGTCCTTGAAGGGATAGCCTTTTTTCTCCTCCTTTCGCTTATAAGCTCTACTACAACTATATAATGTAACGATGTGGGAGTCTATGTGGGAGTCTGGTTTCGTTGGTACAGTTATGTTTTGTCTGCCCACT